ATTTTCTTCAATCCATTTATGGATTCTCAACCTAAGTACCCAAATGAGTTCCCAACTCACATACAACCAACAATTTTACAATCTAGCTTCCCTTACCTGAAGATTGGCTCATACTAATCAACCTAAGTACCCAAATGAGTTCCCAACTCACATACAACCAACAATTTTACAATCTAGCTTCCCTTACATGAAGATTGGCTCAGAATAGCCAAGAAGCGAAATTCCTTTTAGATCGGAAAGCCTGGGAGATCAGATTAGGGTTTCGCGCCCGGCGCGTAATCTTTTGAACACTTTTTGCCTCATTGTAAGCCCGGCGCAATTCCATTTTACGCCCGGCGTAATGTCTTCCAGAGAGTTTCAAGCCTCTCTGTCTCGATCACGCCTGGCGCGGGTAGTTTTGCGCCCGGCGCATGTGTAACTTGCAGAATATTGAATGCTCTACTCTTCTCAAGCCCGGCGCGGTTCATATTGCGCTCGGCGTAGCCACTCTGCTCTGCTCCTTAGCTCCTTAGATTTCCAATCCTAAGGTCTTCCATCCTCAATTCACTAGCTCAATACCTGCACAAAAAATGAGGTGTATTAAGGTATTGTTAGCTGAATTTGGGTTAGTTATATCTGCATGCAAAATGAACCAAAAAGAGAACAATTATATTGCAATGGTTCAAAGGATGAGTGAAATTTGTTCAATAAGTCTCATCCAAAAAGAGGTAAAATTGAGACTTAACACCCGTTCCAGGTACAAAATTTACACACCATTAGTGTAACCAGAACGAGCCGTTCTGGTTTCAGAACGGGCCGTTCTGGTTTCAGAACGGGCCGTTCTGGTTTCAGAACGGGCCGTTCTGGTTTCAGAACGGGCCGTTCTGGTTTCAGAACGGGCCGTTCTGGTTTCAGAACGGGCCGTTCTGGTTCCAGGTGTCTTCAAATATTTTGAGATTCACCTACGTGGCATCTACGTGGCATCCACCTGACCACCAGTTAACTCCGTTTAAATCATTTAGACGGAAGTCCCAAATTGCAATGATTTAAATTATTGGGGACCAAATTGAAACCTAAAATTAAAATGGGACTAAATTAAAACAAAAAATTGTTATCAAGGACCAAAAGAGATATTTAACCTAAAAAATAATATGCTAACCTTCCTTTTCCCCTCATCCAAATAAGGTAGATCGATTGACTGTATAAGAATGGAACAGAGCTTTTAACTTTAAAGAAATTAAGATAAAATTATCAAACAATTTCCATTTGATTTTAAAATTCTTATCTTAAACTTTATATGTTAAATAAAAAAAAACTTTCAAAATGCGTAAAAATGGAGTAAAAGATTTTACTTCAATAATCGTTTACCTTTTATTTTTTCCCTATTATAATTTTTATATTATTACTTTTCTAATCTACTTTACATAGCTACAACATACATATAATTCAGCTAAAAATGACTATATTCGTATTAAATTAGATGAAGAAAAACTTTTTGATAGATATTAACTATGCACATTAACTACTGTCGTCTGATAATATTCTGCTTTCGTCTTTCGGGGAGCATATTCGGTAGGGGTGTTCATGGGTCGGTTTTGTCAAAAAATCAATCCAAACCGAACCGAACCGTTTTAGAAAAGTGGATCGGTTAACTGATCCATTTTTTATAAAGTGGATCGGTTTGGTTTTCTTAAAATATGGATCGGGTTTTTTGAAATTGGATCGATTCGGTGCGGTGCAGTTATCCACTTTTTTACTCATATATGGATCGATTTTTTTAGAAAACCAAACCAAACCAAACCGATCCACTTTGTAAAAATGAATCGGATAACTGAACCGGTTTTATAAAGTGGTTCGGTTCGGATTTTTTTTCAAAATGGATCGGATTTTTCAATATGGATCAAATCGGTTATGGATCGGTTCGGATCAATTTAGATTTTTTGCACACCCTTAATATTCGGGCATCTTTTCATAACATCCAAAAGATCTCCCTACTCATCCTGGCTTTTACTCTTATTTTCTCAATTCTACATGTTACTTCAATGTATTTTTTTATTCTATCTTATAAAATATTAAATTAATGTTAATTTTTATAAAAATATCTTTTCATAATATTTAATTATAAAAATTAATTTATAAGATGTGAATATTTATACACTCTTTAATTATATTATATCTATATCTAACACTATTAAATATGTGACTTCTTTGAATAGGAGAGGTGGCCGTAAAGGGGTATCTAGATGGTGGTATGACCTGTGGAATATTGAAGAGGGTGCAACAATTACATGTAATTGGTTTTCTAAGGAGTGTGTGAGAGTAGTGGGGAATGGTAGGAACACTTCCTTTTGGAGGGATCCTTGATGCACTACAAAACCTTTTTGTGAGAGGTATAGTAGGTTGTTTTCTATCTCTAACAATAAAGACATGTCTGTGGCGGATATGAAATTATGTAGGGAGGTGGAGAGTGGGTGGAATTGGTGTTGGAGGAGGCAATTATTTCAGTGGGAGCAATCTCAGTTATCACTTTTGATGATGGACCTAACTTGTGTTCAAATGAATGATACAAATGATGATTCTTGGAAGTGGTCAGCTGATCCAAGCGGACTGTATTCAGTCAAGTCAGACTACTATATAATTGTTAATGCCTCAATTTTTGCAGAAATCCCTCTTCATAAGTTCATATGTTGTAGGCTTGTCCCTTCCAAGGTTTCTTGTTTTTCTTGGAGGGTGATGCTTGACAGAATCCCAACCAAAGTTAATCTTGCGAAGAGGAATTTGTTACTGTCTTCTAATTATGGTTGTGTGTGGTGTAATCAAGGTCTTGATACCTCCTGCCATATATTTTTTGAGTGTTCCTTTGCATACCAGGTTTGAATGTTGTGTTTGGAATGGTGTGGCCTCTTTGCTGCTCATCAAAATAATTTCATATCTCATTTTGAGCAGTTTCTAGGCTTTCCGAGTTGTGGTGCTAAAAGCCAGTACAAATGGGCGGTGATCTGGTTGGCTAAAATTTGGAGTATTTGGTTGGCGAGAAATGAAGCTGTATTTACTAATAAATTCACATTTCCAAATGATCTGGTCGAATTGATAAAACTACGCTCTTGGAAATGGCTGAAAGCTAAAGATCTTGATTTTTACTATCCGTTCTCTTATTGGGCAAAGGAACCTGTTGTAGACACCCAATTTCGTCTGGGAGGCAAACAAACAACAAGATAGGACATCAGTGGGCCCAAAAACCTAAATTAACTTTTTTAGTGGCCCGGAACGGGCCATTCCAAAATCAGAATGGGTCGTTCCCAATTTCAGAACGGGCCGTTCTCGGATCAGAACGGGCCGTTCCGAGGCTTCTAAAAGGCCTAAAAAAGGTAGGTTGGAATGGGCCTTTCTAGACCAGAACGGGCCGTTCCAAACCAATCAAAAGGACTAAAAAAGTTAGGTTGGAACGAGCCGTTCCAAACCAATCAAAGGGGCTTAAATTTGTACCCTGGAACGGGCCGTTCTGAAATCAGAACGGGCCGTTCTGGTTCCACAGAACGGGCGGTTCTAGGGTACGAAAATGCTGCATAACGTTTGGATTCGGAACGGGTCGTTCCGGCCCACATCTGATGCCTATAAATAGAAAATCTCGGCCAACAGTTCAGGGACCTCCAAAATTTCGTCCAGCACTCCTGAGAGCTCGAAATTTCTCCCTTTTTTCTCTCTATCTCTCTCCTATTGTATTTCTTGAGTTTTGTGAGGCATATTGTAGTGTGAAAGGTTGTCATAAAGCACCTAAAACCTCCATAGTTGAAGATCCAATAAAGCTCGTTACGAGGTATTACTCATCAATCTCTTGTTCTATCTTTTCTTCTTTTGTTTTACATATTATTATAATAAACGCAATTATGTAGATATCTTAGCGGTTCATCGTGTAATTTAATTTTCATGTAAATAATCATTAATAAAGGGGATTAAATATTAAACTATTAATTCTTATTACGTTATCTTCATCATAGGGTACCAATTTAGGGCGTTGTAGGGGTGCTTAATACCTCCCCTACACGTAACCGACCCCCGAACCCAATTTTGGTTATTAAAGCCATTATTGGACTTTTAAAAATCTTTTCTTTTTCCAATGTTTTGAGTAAAACATTGGTGACGACTCCATAAACTTATTTTCAAAAATCATTGATTAAGGATTAGTCTGGCGTCCGGACATTCCTTAATTGATGAGATTTTCAAAAGGATGTCTAAACTATTAGTCGTGAGATCGGAAATTTTCGGGTTGCGACACCTGCTGCATGTCTTAATCTTTATTAAGTTAACTGTATATGGGTTGGAGTACCCCTTGTACTCGCTTTTAATATATTTCATTTTGCCTAGAAAAAAAAATGTGTATAACTCTTGAAAAATTAATTTGTAAGATAAGATTATTTATATATTCTTCAATTGCAGCACTATTAAACGTGCGTATATCGAATGGTAAGTGGTAGTTGTCAAAGTCATAAGAACATGCTGAATATGATGTTGAGGAATCAATGTCATAGCATCCCACTTCGTTGCAGGGAACATCAATGACAATGCGGTTCAAAGTGTCAACACTCAACACCATAACCTCTACTTCACCGTGCAGTGAGGAAATCTTAAGGCAACTATAAATTATTTGCATTGTTTTTTTAAATTTTTTTATGATGAAACTATAAATTTCAATCCAACTAACTCAAGCTAATACCAATTTCCCTGAATTGCTAATACCAATTTCCCTGATATTCAGAATATCTTAAATATAGTTTGTTTTAACTATAGTATAGTTTGTTAATAATATATATTTTCAGTTTTAACTACCTAGTTAATTTGAATTTGACTCTGAATATAAAGAAGTTGATAACTTTGTAATTTAATAAATTCAATTCATTTGATAAAACAGTTTTTTTCCTACTCTATTTTTTTCTCATTCTTTCTATACAAGATCTATTCATGAAGTCCCATAGGTTTGATGTAAATTTATTGATGAATTCTTATATCTTTGTTAGAATACATGGATCAAAGAAGCCAAGAAAGAGATTCTTAAGGAAATAAATTACAATTGAATAAATTTTCTCATCAAAGAAACTTCCAAGCTGAGATTGAATGAATTGGGGTCCCCTTCCATCCAACTATTAGACACTTCCCGTTTTTTCCCACAGTACAAAAATCCCCACACGCAAACCTTTTGGCTACCAAGTTAGCTTGGTACAAAGATGACTCACTAAATGTGGTCTCCACCATTCTATACCTCGCAAAGAACCTTCTCCAAACATCTATCTTCACATTCCTAACCTTCCTTTCTCCATCTTCCATAGCAACAATGCTTCGTATCCCTTCAGATAATATCCCCTCTATTGTCACTCTGCACTCATAATCCTCCTTCATGCAGGTCTCAATGCAGTCAAAAAACGCCGCATAGAAGAACAACGCTTCAATGAAGCGATTCACAAAGGAGGGTGAGTTATGGTTTGCTTCCAACTCAAGAACAATCATTATAGTTGGTCTGATTTTTCTGATCACCCGCATCAAGTGTTCCAAGGAATCAGAATCCGACACCATAGTCCTCAGTATGATTGGACAATACACAGCTACGGCTTCATTATCTTCAATATCAAATTGCTCTACCTTAATCTCTATGATGTTTGTAACATAAACTACCTTATATAAAAAGGGCAAGTTTAAGGATTCAGCAAAATTCACTAACCTTTTCCCTGTCTTTTCTAGTTCGGTCTTTCCTTTGAGTCCAATGGCAGTTATCTTAAGAAGCTCAACTTGCCTTTCATTCCTCTCAGCCAGTGCTTGCATCAAAGTCGTGCATTCCACCCCACATCCAATATCAAGGTTTATGAGATGAATTTTGGTTTGAAATGCAACCTGTTCCACTATAGCTTGTACCCCAGCAAACTGCATTACTTGATTGAAAGGAATTTTTTGATGGCATATAACAGCCTTTTTGGTATCCGATATTAAATTCCCAATCAATTCCCTTTCCTCGTTATTGTTCTCGGACTTGTTCACTGCCACCTTTCCTCCTCCCGTTTCTCTTTTGATCCTTTCTAGAAGTGCTTGAGCGAAATGAAAAACAACTCTCTGAACGGGGCTTCCACCACCGCCTGAAGGGTTCCACTGAAGATGGAAGAGTAACACACTGGCACGTTCAAATTGTTGGCACCCTACCCTCTCAGCAGCTGCAAGAAGAAACTGAGCAAGTTCCACGTCCCTATTTTCTTCCTCAGATAAAATCCCGAAGCCAAATCCATAAGGGTGCATGGGCATGCAAACATCATCATGCCATTGTGTAGAGTGCTGGATATACCTTGCTCCAGCCAATCTTATTATTTCTTCGGTTGACAACTTTTGAGGAGTACTCACACAAGTTTCAACACTATGGCTGATGTTTTGCTTCTCCACCCTCTTGAACCTGCTTCCATAATGGCTCAGTAGCTCCAATGATGCTAGAGAAGATGGCAGCACTTGTTTATTCTTTGGTTCCTTAGTTTCTTGAAGAGGCTGCTTTGGTTGTGGAACAGGTTCAAAGCTGAAATCCTCTAACATGAAGTGATCAAAGTTGAAATCATTTTGGTGGTGTTGCTGGTTTTGCTCTTCAGTAGTGGGAAGAGTATTCATCCCTCTCAGTATAGCAGAGAAGCCGTGTTCTCCTTGGAACACATCATCCTCTACTTGTAAAGAGTCATAACCGCCCTGGAATTCGTTGAAATTGAAAGGTGTGAAAGGAAAAGGAAAGGGTATCAACAAATTACCCTCGAGGCAATGAACTTATCTAGATATATATCGACATTGGTGTTTTTATTGGCCTTACTCACAGTCGAAAAGGAATATTTAAACGTATAAACATGAGAGGAAACATGCAACTTTGATGTGATATTTCGATGTTTTCATCAACCACAGCCGTCAGCCATAACTGGTTTGTCTTTATTGAAAACAATGTAAGGATCAATACAAACTATGAAGAAAAAGCCCGAGTTTTTAATGATTTGATTGCATACGTTTTCCTAAGAAGTTCAGCCAGCGTGACGAAAAAGTTGAAGAAAATGATGGATGGTCTTTTTTAGTAAGGGATTGGCTGTTTCCTAGAAAAGCCCCACAAAACCAAAAACTGACTTTATCTTGAAGAAAATATAAGGAATATGCTATTGCTAATAATAATCTAAAATATCTGAGGTGCTAGAGCCTAGAGCCACTAAAGTTAGGAGAGATGTTTAAAATAATGGTATATATGGAAACTGGGCCTAGCGTCGGCCCAACATTTTTTGAGCCTAGAGCCACTAAAGTTAGCTAGGAGAAATGTTTAAAGGCAGATAATAAACACACCTCCACTCTCGTATAAGCACACCCCTTTTTTTAAAAAAAATATATAAAATATCTAAATTACCCTTAAAAAAAATAAAATTCCTAAATTTATACCCTCTTCCCCGCACCCCCATACCCCGCACCCCCTTCCCAGCACCCCACACCCCCCTTCCCCGCACCCCAAGTGTTTAAGAGTTCCTGAAAGCAAGTTGGGGTTTGGATTCTGGGTTTGAAAATAAAAGGATCCTTCTTTGCAACCAATGTGGCCACGGTACTCATCTACGGATGGCAATGACGACGCACGATGATGTATTCTTTCAGGATATTTTCCTCCGTATCCAACCATGTATGACATATTCTCTGGATTGCTTCCAAGTATGTAATCCACCTGCATAAATGTATACATGTACAGTAAACATATAAAAACAAATCGTTGAGTTATCATATGGACTTAAAAGTATAGTTAAATCTAAAATTTGCATATATACCTGGCTTCTTGCTATTTCTTTGAGTCGCGTTGGAGAAGCCAAAACATTACCACCACAGTCAATCTGTTGATTAGTCTTTTTCAAATAGCCAGCATTAACCAGAAACAGAAATGAGAATGTTGTTGCATGCTGCAAGTTACTCCCGCCAGGCTTGAATAGAAGCCCACCTAATTTCTTAAACACAATTTGGAAAAGGTGCAGGGAAGGAGGGTGCGGGGAAGGGGTATGCTTATACGAGAGTGGAGGTGTTGGGATGCGGGGAAGGGGGTGTGGGATGCGGGAAAGGGGGGTGCGGGGAAGAGGGTGTAAATTTAGGAATTTCATTTTTTTAAGGGTAATTTAGACATTTTATATATATTTTTTAAAAAAGGAGGTGTGCTTATACGAGAGTGGAGGTGTGTTTATCATCAGCCATGTTTAAAATAAGGGTATATATGGAAACTGGGCCTAGTGTCAGCCCAACATATTTTTTAAGACCTAAAAACGAGTTTTGAAGTTGAATCTTTTTAAAGATAAGAGAGTGACAAGAAAATTAACTGCTACTCATAAAAAAAAAAATTCAACAAAAAATTATAATACTAGAATTGAACTCAATCCTTACAATGCTAAGTTCACATAATGATTAACGAATCAAAATTAATGTTGATACAATTGATTCATTATATTCTATAAATAAATAAAAAATATTTTGGAGTCTAATGTTAGGATTTGGACAATTTTATACTTGGGTTGATTCTGGGCTAGTCAATGAATACATTATAAATTTGATTGTTATTCCATCAAACAACATTTAAATTGAAAAGAATGATTGAAAAAATTACCTACTACAATATAGAATTATGTCTTGGAGAACCGATGGTAATGGCAAAAAATGAAACAAAACAGATGAAAATAAATATGAAAAATAGTCACATTACATGTGTGATTATTTTACATGAATCCAATAGCGTTTGACATCTTTTTGAAAGATTGAATTCACCTATCTTCTTCGAGTAATGATATACATGAATTATTCTCCACTAAAAATACTTCATTAATATTCATTATTTCTGTTATTTTTCTCTACTTGTTATATAATATTACATGATATACCTATATCAATGTCTCTTTTCTCTATTTTTTTTCACTTAAATTTTATTTGGATGATGAAAGGTTTTAAGATGAAAGAAGCTGATAGAAAGAAGTAAAAGAGAATAGATAACGAAAAAATATGAATACATTATTAAGTTATTTGGATTAAGGAAAGTAAGAAAGAAAAGAAAGGATATGCGTTATAAAGATACTTTTTATTTCTAATAACATATATTATAAAATAATCTTTTGCATATGGTAAAAATTAAATTGTCTCATATTAAATAATTCAATCAAAATAGTTATAATTTCAAGCATTTCAAATTTTAAAGCTTTTCATCAAATTAAAATCAAGAGGATTTTTTAGATTATTTATGAAATTAGTGTGTGAAATGTATCTTCAAAAGAGACAAAAATATAAAATACTTAGAGTCTGTAATTATGAGAGTGAAAATTACATTTTTTAAGTTATATGCAATGTCACCTTGAAAATAATTACATTATTATTAATTATTGTTGTTTTTATCATCATAAATGTCATGGTAATAATTCTTAACATGAAAATGAATTGTTTAATCTTCGTCATACATTTTTAAGAAATATGATTGGAAAAATATTTGACATTTTAAAATTACATTTCACAATTTTAAGTTAGTGTTTCCATTTTCATTTAAAGTACAAGCTGAACTTATGTTAGTATGTGTAATACTATATAATTTCTTTCATAAAGAATGTCGCTCTTATAAATTTTTAATTGAACTAATAAACAAAACTTTATCTTTAGTGTTGCTAGTTAATGAATATCATATTTTTTAATTTATTATTCAAATTCAAGAGCATGAATGAAAAAATGTTAATGCATAAAGAGTTATGTGTGAAAAAATGTTATTTTAAAAAAATGAAACTATAATCAATTGTCTATTGAAAGATTAAAAAAAATTGTATTAATTTATTTTTTTAATCAAATTGTATCATTTATGTTAATCAGTTATGAAATCTAATCATTTATGTTAATTGTAAAAATTGCATTATTCTTCTTTTCTGAAATCACATTCAAGACAATTTTCAGATTGAATGGATCAACCGATTACTTGGGCTACTTTAAGACCCCGTGAAAGAGCCCAGTTTACTGCAATAGTCCCCTTCCCCATCACGCACCATAAGGCATAAAATTAAATTAAGTAATAATATTTTAAAAAATAAAAATTAGAAATAAAATAAGTGGGTACTTTTTTTAATTTGAGTTAATATGACCTTTTCTCTCTCTCATTTTTTAGTACTTCTTTCAGTATTTTTTATTTTAAAAATTTAAAATAATTTCAAAATTAATATGAGACGTTTGTTTTATGGAATAATATTATATTTTGGAGAATCATATTTCTGGAAATAATATAACTCGAAATATTATTCCTAGAAATAAAAGAAAAAATGTTAACTAGTATTTTAATCTATATGGACTAAATATTTATTAAATTTATAATAAATAAAATATACAAATAAATATTATGTTTAAATATATAAATTATATTTAAAATTTGTATAAATATATACTTTTAAAAAAAAATATATATATATATATTATTTCAAACTTGTGATAAATAATTTATATTGTAACACAATATT